GTCTTCCTCCGGCGCTCGGGCTCTAGAGCCTGAGGATCTGAGCTGACATCCCTGGCGTGCTGATCTCGGGCACTGGTGCATTTCCGCTACAGGCTGGGCACACAGTGAGGGCTGAGTGAGTGTTCAAAAAGTAAAAGATAGGAAGTGCAACCACCTGGCACTTAGAAGTGCTGATGATGACACAAGGTGACCTTTGTCCATTTTTGGAGGCTTGGCACTGACTTTAGTCTCCCCGTAGCCAAAATCTCCCCAACTTGACATGCCAACTGGCACTCGAAATGCTCCTTGGTCACGAGACCTGCTCTTACGAACCCCATTTGGGCATTTCCCCTCTAAGAGCCCCCAGCCTGGTCCCTCCCTCTGTCCTGGCCCTAGCCATGGGGCTTGGGGCATCTGTCCCACTCTGTCCCCCTCTCCATGGGCAGATGGATAGCTGCGGCCTCTTTTAATGTGCCATACAAGGCAGGTGTTAAGGTGGAAGTTTCTCTTGGGCTTCCTCTGTGCTTGTTTCCTCATCTGTGAGATGGAGGTGGGAGCTTCTCAAGGCAGCTCCCCTTAGGCACTTGCATACGCTCTACCCTCTACCCCCCCTCTACCCCCCATGGTGCCACCACTGTCTGTCCCCTGTGGCTATTTGAACTTGAGACCCTAAGACAAAGGCATAGCGTCCCCTAGGATGCTAGGGGAGTTTGCTTCCTCAGAAGATTCTGCCAGAATCTGTGCTCAATGGCTGTTTGAGGCTTGCGTAAATAAATGAGTGAGCGATATTCTGGGCACCATGCTTGTGTGATGTGATCGAGAACAGCTCAGCTTTCCCAGCCTCAGTCTTTCTTTCTGCACCTCACGGGTGGCATGAGCATATGGGACCATCATGTATGCTATAGTGCCCAGCTTGTGTGTGTGTCAGGGGCCACATGACAAGGGTGTGCAGAGGACAGCTGCATGAATTAGCAACTCAGTGAGTTCATTTGTTCATTCATTCAGCGCCTGCCATGGCCAGATGTCTATGTTCTTTTGGCTGAGGGGCAGGTTGGCACATAGGTTTTGGGGGCCCAGAGGAAATAAACTAGTACAAGGGGTGGAGAGATGGGTGGCCAGGGAGGGCCCTTCTGAGGAGGGCTGAGCACCAGAGGGAGTGTCTGAGGGCATCCATCCATCCTTAAGAGAAAAATTCCAGAGGTAGGAACATCTAAGTTGTTCAACATGGCAAAGGGGGCTGGAAGGAAGAAATGGGTGAATGAATTGGGGGGGTAGGTGGATGATGCATGAAAAGAAGGAAACATGGGTGGATGGAGGGATGGGTAAATCCATGGATTTATGAATGAGTTCATGAGTGCAAGAATAGCTACGATGAAGGGATGGACAGTGGACGCTGTACAATGAGTGGTGGGTTAGCCACTACATGATGGATGAGCTGACCATCGGGTGAACTGAAGCATGGACAGGTGGATGGGTGGGGGGCCCAGTGGATGGGACTGAATTCACAGACAGGTGAGTCAGTGAGTAGGTGTGACTGGCCAGCCATCTCTCTGCAGCTGCCCATTGTGGCATCCTCCATCGTGTCCCTGTACTTTCTGGAGCTGACGGACCTCTTCAAGCCTGCCAAGGTAGGTTTCCAATGTTATGACCGCACGCTGTCCATGCCCTATGTGGAGACCAACGAGGAGCTCATCCCGCTGCTCATGCTGCTCAGCTTGGCCTTCGCTGCCCCTGCGGCCTCGGTGAGTCCCAGCGTCCCCAAAGGGTCTCGGTCACCCTGTGGGTACCCCCGGCCAGGATCCAGCTGAGCAACCCCCTGTCGGCAGATCATGATGGGCGAGGGCATGCTGTACTGTCTGCAGTCTCGGCTGTGGGGTCGTGGAGGTGGCCCAGGCGGGAGCTGAGGGCAGCATCAACGCTGGCGGCTGCAACTTCAACTCCTTCCTGCGGCGCACGGTGCGCTTTGTGGGTGAGTCACTGAACACACCCAACCCTCCATTCACACCCGGGACTGGGCAGGTTCGGCCCCCAGCTCCCGCACAGTCCCTGATCCTTTCACCCTCAGGCGTCCACGTGTTCGGCCTGTGTGCCACGGCCCTGGTGACAGACGTCATCCAGCTGGCCACAGGCTACCACGCGCCCTTCTTCCTGACTGTCTGCAAGCCCAATTACACACTGCTGGGCACCTCGTGCGAGGCTAACCCCTACATCACGCAGGATATCTGCTCTGGCCACGACACCCACGCTATCCTGTCTGCAAGGTGAGCCGGCCCCAACCCCTTTCCCATTTAGTGTGGGGAAACTGAGGCACAGAGGGATTTTTTGGGATACAGCGGGGCTTACTCAGACACCTCCTACAGGAAGACCTTCCCATCCCAGCACGCCACGCTGTCGGCCTTCGCTGCAGTCTACGTGTCGGTGAGTCCCGGCTCAGGCCTTGCCCACCCTGACCCGCCCCGACCTCTCCTACCCGACACCACTCTTGCCCCACCCACATCTGCCCCAGCTGCCCTGGCCCTGCCCTCCCTAGGCCCTCTCTTTCTCTCCCCCTGCCCCCCTTTGCCACCACCCTGATCGCCGCACTGCCCCCAGATGTACTTCAACTCTGTCATCTCCGACACCACCAAGCTGCTCAAACCCAGCCTGGTGTTCGCCTTTGCCATCGCCGCGGGCGTCTGCGGGCTCACTCAGATCACGCAGTACCGCAGCCACCCTGTGGACGTCTACGCCGGCTTCCTCATCGGTGCCGGCATCGCCGCCTACCTGGTGAGGGTTTGCCCAGGGAGTCTGGTGGCCATTAGGCTGGTCCTGGAGCGGGAGGTCTGAAGGGGGCTTCTAGCCCCTGTGGGGGATGTCTGAGTGGGAGAGGCACAGGCAGCAAGGCCTGCCCCTGCCCTGGGGGACTCTGACAAGTCTCTTGGAATGCTGGAATCAGAATCTCAAGGGCTCATACCTGCCCATTGGGCAGAGTGTGAGTGACCAGAGGTGAGAATTTGCCCCACTGGGGAAAGACAGACTTTTCCCATTGAAGGCCAGGCCTCCCCTCAGACCCCCAAGTCTTTGCCTGGTGGGGACTCTGATCTCCGGCCTCCGGCTTCACAGCCAGCCTGCATTTCACCCCCAGGCCTGCCACGCGGTGGGCAACTTCCAGGCCCCGCCCACAGAGAAGCCCACAGCCCCAACACCCGCCAAGGATGCACTGCGGGCCTTGACCCAGAGGGGCCACGACTCGGTGTACCAGCAGAACAAGTCCGTGAGCACCGATGAGCTGGGCCCTCCAGGGCGGCTGGAGGGCGGGCCTGGGCCTGTGGCCCGAGAAAAGACCTCACTGGGCAGCCTGAAGCGGGCCAGTGTGGACGTGGACCTGCTGGCCCCACGCAGCCCCATGGGCAAGGAGAACATGGTGACTTTCAGCCACACACTGCCCCGAGTCAGCACGCCCTCACTCGATGACCCTGCCCGCCGCCACATGACCATCCACGTGCCACTCGATGCCTCCCGTTCTAAGCAGCTCATCAGCGAGTGGAAGCAGAAGTCGCTGGAGGGCCGTGGCCTGGGGCTGCCTGATGAGGCCAGCCTGGGGCACATGCTGGTGCCTGAAGAGCCCATGGCAGAGGAGGAAGAGGAGGAGGAAGAAGAGGAAGAGGAGGGGGAGGAAGAGGGCCCAGCCCCACCCTCGCTCTACCCCACAGTCCAGGCCAGGCCAGGCCTCGGGCCTCGGGTCATTCTCCCACCGAGAGCTGGGCCACAGCCACTGGTGCACATCCCTGAGGAGGGGGTACAGGCGGCAGCTGGCCTGTCCCCCAAAGGCAGTGTGGCTGTGCGGGCCAAGTGGCTCATGATGGCTGAGAAGAGTGGGGCTGCTGTGGCCACAGCCTCCACCCAGCCCCGCATTGCCAACCCGCCCCGGCTGCTGCAGGTGATTGCCATGTCCAAAGCGCCAGGTGGACCTGGCTCCAAGGTGGCAGAGACTGCGCTGTCCTCCAGCTCCAGTTCTGACTCCTCACAGTACCGGTCACCATCAGACCGCGACTCGGCCAGCATTGTCACCATTGACGCTCATGCACCCCACCACCCTGTGGTCCACCTGTCTGCTGGTAACGGGCCCTGGGAGTGGAAGGCTGCTGGGACCAAGGGGTCAGAGGGTGAGGGTAGCTATGAGCTAGGGGATCTGGCTCATGGCTTTCGTGGTGGGCCCAAGCCACTGGGTGTGTCCCCTGGCTCATCCGTCAGTGATGTAGACCAGGAGGAGCCAAGATTTGGTGCTGTGGCCACGGTCAACCTGGCTACAGGTGAGGGGCTGCCCCCACTGGGCGTGAGCGACGGGGCTCTGGGGCCAGCCAGCAGGGAGTCAACGCTGAGGCGCAAAGCTGCTGGCCTAGCGCTGAGCGAGCGGGATGCCTCCTGTGAGTCAGAGGCTGAAAGCTACTACCACAAAATGCAGGCAGCCCGCAGGTTCAAGGACTGAGCACCCAAGGGCTCAGTGGGCTGGGGTGGGATAAACAGCATGGGGGAACAAGGGGATCAAGGACTGAGCAGGTGTTTTGTGATCAGATAATAAAACATTATTGGAATCCTGGCTCCGTAGTTCTGGTCAATGGTTCTTCCAATGCAGGCAGGCCTGACCACTCACAGGGGCCCCAGGTTCCTGGGCCGGTGATCTCAGATGGTGTTTGAGGGGGGCCTGGCCCTTTATGGTGGGAAGCCACTGAGGAACAGGACAATGGGTGATATCCAGTGTGCCAGAGGGCTGAGCCGCAAAGTTCTATCTGGTCTGCAGAACCCAGAAAGTTGCCCTATCAGACACAGGTGCAGATTCCCCAGAGGCCACCCTACAGGAACAAGGGGGACTCCTGAGCAGGGGTCACAGGACTGCAGACCTGGATGTCAAGTCCCACCCATGGATAACCCCTCCAATCTTCCTTGTCCTAAGTTGGGGGCAGGGGGAAGAGCAAAAATGTCTGAATTCACACAGAAGAACAGCAGTGAAGACAAGCAGGCCCAAAAAAGAGGGAAATGAGTGCAGGATACAGAGAATTTATTCAAAGTCCAGTACAGACTGCCCAGACTGCCTTCCACAATGTGAACAGAGAGCCTGCAGAAAAGGCAAGAGTTGTTATAAAATCGCTTTAATTCAGTTCTCTCCACATTACAAGCCGTCAGGCAGGCAGTGGAATGTGCCATGCTCCACATTACAATACTGAGCCTGTAATTGCTGGTATCAAAATATACATTTGTGTCACCATAAAAAAAAAACACCCCTGCATTTTCTGCCCCTCATGCCTTACAACTGGTATAAAAAATTATAAATATTTAAACCCTTGTCCCTACCCCAACACGAACACTCAGGGGTCCAGGCCCCGAGAAGAGGGGCCGGCCAGCACGAGGTCTGCGCACAGGAAAGCCCCTTGGACACGTGAGTGCAGGACTACACAAGGTAAAGGAGACAGTTAAGACTCAACAGCTGTTGTCCCACCTTAAGGGGCCCCAGCGTTAGAGGCAGACAAAAAACAACTTTGGTCCAAAATTTGCAGGATATTAGAAACCCTGAAAGTTTAAGAGCCCTTGTCCTCCCAGCCAGAGGACAGGTTAGGTGTAAGGCGTCTGGAGGTCTCGGGCCTGGGCTCGCTAGAAGAGCCTGGCTCCTTGGTGGCCCCCACTGCGTCTGCCCTGGAAACTAGATCCTGCCCTGCAACTTAATTACAAGGAATAAAATAAGAGTACAGTATACAAGGTCATATAAGCAGGAAATTTAGATTACACTCATACCATTTTTTATCATCTTGCTATATAAAAGGTTACTTAAAACTATGTCTTTTGCATATAAATGAAGATTAGAATATTTGGTCAACTGGAAATATTGCTAGGCACAGACGTCTGCAACTGCATCAAAGCACAATAGATTTTACAATGAAACAAAGCTCCAAGCTGAAGAGGCGGCAGGGATGTACCCTCAGGGCAGGGGTCTTAGCCCAGGAGGGGCACCTCAAGCCAGGAGTGGGGTGAGGTGGGGTGGGGAGAATCACACACTTGATTAAATGAGATCAGCGGGATATTGGGAGAACTGGGATTTTCGGCAGATCCTGCAGCTGGCAGCCTCCTCCCATGCCAGGCACATGATATGATCCCTGCAGGAGCCTTGCCCCTCAGTTCCCAAACCTCTACACATTTGCTACTGCAAGAAGGCCCTGCCAGAGCAGCGGGTTTTAAGGCACAAGAAAATGGAATGGAGGTTTGGGACTGCCCACCCCGCAGGCTGCAGAAGGCACAGGCAAGGGGCCAGGGAGGAGCAGGCATAATGTCCATGTGTCACCAAGAGCCTGAGGCTGGCACCCCATCTCCCCAAGGTGAGCAAGGTGAATTAGATTTAATTTTTTTAAAAACAGGTAAACTGATTTCTCTTTAAAAAAATAGAATCTCTGGTCTTTTAAGGTCACTTCAGCTGCTTTTAAAGTGGCTATTTTCTGGAATGATGGAAGTTGTCACCGGGACAGCCCGGCAGGCTGGTCCTTGGTGGGGGAGCCTAGATGGTGGACTTGGAGAAGGACACCCGCAGGTGGTGGTTCTCGCCCAGGTCATGGTTGTGCAGGTCAATGAGAGCCTGGATGGCCTCCTCCACGGAGCCCATCTGGATCAGTGCCATCTTGCGGTCCTTCCTGTGGGGACAGGAGAGGGACAGGACATGAGGTGGAAGGGAGGAGGCGGGGAGGAAGGAGAGGACAAGTAGGGAGAGGGTTTTGTGCTCACTGGAAGAACTTGAACCCTTTGACAACTCCACCGTTGCTGGAGAAGAGGATCTTCAGGTCATCCTCGGATACAGAAGGCCTGTGGAGAGAGGGAGACCTGAGCCATGGGTCCTCCGAGGAAGACCAAGGCTACAGCTACTCCCTTGAGGATGGCAACTCTCGAGAGAAGGAAGACCTGAGGGATGTTCACCCTTTTAGGGACCCAGACATAGGATACTTAAGAATAATTGTATCAAAGTCTACCAGAGTCACAGAAAACATTCCATTTGGCTTCCAAAAATGACGCCAAACAAACCCCCCCCCACAAAACAAAAAACCCCACCCATCACACCTCTTCCCTCAGTTGTTTTGGGAGTGTTCAGAAAGGACAAAAGCAGCTTGTAGCAAGACAACCTGTCAAAAGCCTAGGGTTTCAGGGAGGGCCCCACCCTGCCCACCCGTGGGACACCTACGGGATGTTGGAAAGATGCAGGGTAGCTGAGGGTGGGAAGATGTTCTGAAAGTTCTTGGAGCCAGGTTTCTTGAAGCGGTGCAGGGGTGAATTCCCGTAGTCCTTGGTGAGGCCCTGGTCTTCCTGGCCCTCACGGGGCAGCTGCACGTTTTGGTGCTTAGACAGCGTGATGCGCACGGGTTTCCCGTGCAGCTTGTGCCCATTGAGGTGGCTCATGGCTGAAAAGGTGAAACCCGTGTGACCCAAGGCCCCACAGGCACATGTCTGGCCCCCCACTCCCATCCCAGGCCATCACCCCTTACCCAGCTGTGCTTGGCTCCCATCGGCCATCTGTACCAGGGCATTCTCCTTCTTGTTGAACAAAATCTTCACCCGCTGCACATCACCATACACGCCTTCAAAAGCGCGGGGACAGGGCCCTGAGCCTGGGATCTGCTGCCGCCTCCCCCACCAGCCCCCGTGACCCCGCACACCCTCACAGGGCTGGCTCTTCCCGAAGGTTTGCTATTCTGCCTCTGGGAACCTGCATCTAGTCACAGGGATGTTACCAGGAGGACTACCTTCAGCAAAGAAGTCATAAAATCCAGAAAAGGTCAATTGCCAAAGAGCCATCACTTTACATGCTACCAACACGCTTAACTGCGAGAGCATGCAGGGCAATGAACCATGCGTGTCTACGAAATCCAAATAAATACACAAAACCGAAGGCAAACCAAGTAACGAGGCAGAAATGCAAACTCATAGTACATCTTAGGGCATAAAAATAACCTCAATTAAATGAAAACAAGATAATAAAAGTGTGAATGATAACATACCGAAAAGAATAAAGAGGCTTTGGGGTGTGACTCTCTTTAGAGGACAGCAGAGCAAGGCAGCGGAGGGACAGGGAAAGGGAGAGGTCAGGGGGCGAGTTGCCATCGTCCACCACGAGGAGGCAGCCCCGCAGGCGTGCAGGTTGATGGATGATGAAGTTGTCAGGATGTTAATATTCAAGGGCAGGTTGGTTTCCGGAGAGCAGGGTTTGAGGGGGAATTTTGTTTTTATTTATTTATGGTTTTGTTTTGTTTCAAGCAACAACAGGAAGCAGAAGTACCGTGCAGTCAGTTGGCAAAGAAATTCCGGATCAGAAAAAAAATTGGGAAAGGGGAAGGGGAGAAAAGAAAAAAAAGTAGCAAAAAACACAGGTCAGTAAATACATAAGAAAATCCGCAGTGTTCCATCAGTCAGATCTACACACATTACTAGTCACAGGTCCACCTCGTGGAGCAGGCAGGAAAGCACCTGTCCGCACAGTGAGCAGGAGACGCTGCTGCCCCTCCGGCCTCGCCCTGCTCCAACCAAGCCCCTTGCTTGGCTCAGTTCCCCGGAACCTGTGTCTCCTGCTGACTGCTGCGGGGAAAGTATAAACGCTCACACAAGCACGAGGGGTGGAGTCTGTTAGTGAGGCTTCTAGAGCATCTAACTCAGACAAGGCACCGGCCGCCCCAGGCCAAGAGATCACAGGAGTGGTCAGATAGATGAGAAAACAGTCTGAAACGCTAATTGAACATTAATCCCATCTTTCAAGAGTTAAATATTTTGAGCCTTGATCTCACCCAAGCTCCCTGAGCCAAACTTGGCCCGGAGACAATTATAGGTTGGCTGTTCTAGGGACTGCGACTCTGAGTTGTGGGGGCAGTGCAGACCATGGCCCTCCTGAGCAGAAATGCCCAAAGACCTCTTCAGACAGAGGCATGTTTGGCTTGAAATTTTATGATTACTTTCATGTACTGAAAAACATTTCAACTCTGAACACTATGGAATTAGAAATTAAACCAGGACATTAGGGGAGATCCCAGCCCAGGGGGAAGGGAGGGGAAGACGCAACGAGTGCAGAGTGGGGCTGCACAAGGACTGGCCTGTGAATGAGCTCCAGGGGGTTACAGGAGCGTGGCCTGCTGGCAGTTTGCACTAGGACCCGAGAGCACAACTCCCCTACTGGACTGGGAACAGCCTGGAAGAGCCACGTACCTCGGGGTTGAGGTTGCTGACCAGCAGGACAGAATTTCCAGCACCTGCCAGGCCTGGGATGGCAATCCGGCCTGCTGCTGCTGCCGCTGCCGCCGCCGATGGGATGGCCAGAGGGGCCAGGGCCCCATGCACATTGGGAACAGAGAGGCCTGCAGAAAGAGAGGCAGTAAGGAGATGAACAGCAGCACCTGCTTTCCACCAAGAGAGGAGCAAAGTCCTGCCCATCTTCATGCAAAAGGAGATACACAGAAGGTGCCTGCACTCTGCCTGTCCTGGCCAAGTGGCCTGCTGGCTCCTTCATCCTCCTCACAGCAAATTGCACTGGGTTTGGACCCGGCTACATGCGCCCATACAGCACAAAAGCTCTAGAACTCCATGGATGCAGAACTGAGCCTTGGCCTTGTGTGCATGCAGGTGCCCATCACCATGCAGATGGCATGCCGGGCAGGACACAGCAGGCTCAAGACCTCATGACTGTCACATGGTGACTGTCATGTGGTTGGGCGCCCAGCCCCCAGGAGGGATGCTCAGGTGTGCCTGCCCAGCTCATGCTGCTCTGCTTACCAGGACACTTAAATTCACCTACTAGGGACACAGCCCTCCAACCACTGTGTGTACACGTCCTTGCCCGGGAAGTGCTTAAAGGAATCAGACCAGAGACTGGGGGGTTAGAGTATTCTCTGCATGGCCCTGTCCTACAACTACCCTGTCCAGGCTCCTCAGAACCCAGAGGCCCGCGCCCAGGAAGATGGGCTCCCCCCGTGACTGTGCCCGTTAGCTCGCGTGTTGGCAGAGCTACTGAAAGGTGTGTGGGCATGCACAGTCGGCTGTGGGGACCAAGACCAAGTGTTTGAGTACCTGCAGCTTGAGGAATGGCAAAGGTGGGAGGGAAACCAGCTCCTGCATACGGAGAGGCTGACATTATACCAGGTGCACCTAGAAACAAATGAGACACTAACCATCGCACCCACAACCTCCGCCACCAGAGCCAAGTGAGCCGCGTCAGTGTACCCCCACACCCAGCAGGCAGGTCCAATGTCCGCCTATGCTGGGTGCCACGGCCATGTAAGGAGTAATGGGCACCAACCTCCCTGGGCGCGGGGCAGGCACCATGGGACTCCTGGGGCCTGAGCACTTAGAGACTGAACTATGTGTCCTGGTCTACCACGGCACATGGTGGTACTGGGCACCTCGCTAGGCATCTTACCAAAGGCTGCAGCCATGGTCTGGTCCAGGGAAGGCTGGCTGTCACCAGAGGGCAAGTCAGGACGAGTATAGTCTCGGCTCTTGTCATTGTTGTACTTGACATTGAGGCTGGTAAGCTTGGAAAAGTCAATGCGGAGCGTGCAGCAGGCATTGTAGATGTTCTGCCCATCCAGTGACTGCAAGGAAAGATTTTGAGTGGCGAGGGCCCTGGTGCTGGGAGACGTGCAGGCAGGCAGGCATCCCCCGGACCCACTTACCAGCTTGGCGTGTTGGGCGCTCACAGGTTCAGCATACTGCAACAGTGCCTGGAACTGGTTGTTCTTGGTGAAAGTGATGATTTTCAGAACTGTGCCAAACTTGGAGAAGATCTACCAAAAAAGGAACAGTCAACCTCTGCCCAGAGCCTGGGTGAAAGATGGGGCACATAGATCCCACCTCACCTGGTGTAGCACATCCAGGGTGACTGGGTAAAAGAGGTTCTCCACAATGATCCTGAGCACTGGACTCTGGCCGGCCATTGCCATCCCGGCATCCACAGCAGCGGCCGAGGCAGCTAGCGCCAGGTTCCCCGACTGAACCGAGTTCACAGCGTGTAAGGCTGCCTGGGCCCGCTGTAGGGGAAACAGCTGTCAGTCCCCCAGGCCCACACCAAGGGCCCCGACCCAGCCCCCAGAGCGGATGAGGGGGTGACGCACTGCCTGGTTGGGGGAGCTGTCAGTCTTAAGCTCCTTGTGGTTGGAGAACTGGATGTAGATGGGCTGGCCGCGAAGCACAGGCGTCACGGAGGTGTAGTAGTTCACCATGGTGTTGGCTGCCTCCTCTGTGTTCATCTCAATGAAGGCCTGGTGGGGTGAGGGCATGAGCGGGGCCCAGATCTCTACAGAGAAGCCCTGCACCCCACCCTGAGAGTAGGCCCAAAGCCATTGCTGGGATGGGCTCACACACCTGGTTTTTCCCTTTGAGCATCAAGAGATTGGTGACCTTCCCAAAGGGCAGTCCCAGAGAAATGACCTCGCCTTCAGTAACATCACTGGGGAGCTTCCGGATGTGAATCACTCTGGAGGGCACACCTGCACTTCTGTTGTCACCTTTGAACTTCTTGCTATCATTTCCATTTGCTGAAAAAAGGAGTCGTTTGTCTTGCACAGGGCAACTCCCAGGCCCCCACAAGAGATCCCCCCTTCTCAGAACCAGCTTCCTCTATGATGTGGCCACACTGATCCCCACATTGGGTTGGGCCTGCCCCCAAACCCTAGTTCCCAGGTAAATGTGTCCATGTGTGAAGTGGGGCTCAAGATTGCAGCCAAAGTCAGTACACCCTAGATGTCCCCATAGCACAGAGCATACTTGGACACAGACAGGGAGCCCCTGTGGCAGGGACTAAGGGCTGTAGTTAGCAGTTACCTGCGGAGGCCGAGTTGCTGCTCATGATAAAGGGTCCGTTAGTAACGCAGGCAGAGAAGAGCTCGTCCGATCCCCGCTGGAAGAGAGGGTGCACTGGAGCAGGGATGGAGGTGGCCTGGCACATGGCTGCAGACCCCCTCTACGCCCAGAATACTCTGCTGCTTGGACTGGAAGAGACTGTCTGCCCGGTACCTGTCCCGCCTTGAGATGGCCTCACGGTCCTCCTAAACCCCCAGATGTAGCTGCTTTTCCAAGACAGGGGCCTGCATGTCACTCCCATATCTAGCTTCTGGGGGACACCCTTCCTGGGTCTGTGGACAGGCTTCAAGTCAGGTGCCTCAGTGGCAGTAGGTCCAACCAGCCACCTTTAGACTGTTGAACAGTCTTCAATTCTCACAAAACTGCTCGCAAACTTGAAAACAAAGCCCCCTTGTCATGCTGCACCTACTCCCTTGGCCTTAGGAGCTTGGCCTATTTTCTAGCTGTGTGAGGACACCTGAGCCACAGTCTCATCACTCACTGACCAGAAACACTACCTCTCTGTGAGTCTGCGACACTATCCAGTGACTACCCAAGTGACCAAGAAAATGGGGGCCGAGGGCAGATCTTGAACTGCCTGTCTGCAGATGGACAGGCTCCTGTGACTTCTGACCTGCCTATTTTCTTTCTTTCCAGAAACAACTTGTTTACTCCTGAGTCTCAATCTAATTGAGTCAACTCCCTGACATATTAGACTGACCCTGCTGTGGGGTTAGGCTTAACGACAAGACTGCTTTACCCTAGGGGTGAGCTGGATCAGACTGCGCAGTACTCAAGTAAGAGGTGCAGGCCTCAGCCCCCACCCCAGGACTGCCCTGCTAGGAACAGGAACATGGACACCGGGAACTTGCAGGCTCCAGGACCTGGTGGGGGGGGGGGGGGCGCGCGCACGCGGGGGGCACAGCTGTAGCAGGGCTCCATCAACAGGAACAAGGACGAAGAGTGGGAACCAGGGCAGGGTGTCACCCCCCCCCCACTGCCCTCAGTCCCCCCTAAGGCCTGTGGCAGGAACAGGAAAGACCAGCTCACCCAGGCCTCCAGCTCTCAGAGCTTAAGAGCCGCACCCCTTCTCCCTCAAACTGCCTTCTCTCAAGGACACCTTCTTTGCCCTTCCTCCAAACTGCCAAGTAGTTGTTACTCAAACCAGCACAACCATCATGCTTGCGATGTTGCCATGTGGCCAGCCATCTTTCACCAGAAAAACTGAGGTTCCTTGGAAACCCTCAGAACCCCTGCCCTGCCATGGGTGGTTGTTGAGACCTGAAAGGAGCCAAGGTTTACAAACTGCCCTTTGGGAAAAGGAGCAGGAATGACACCACCACTGGCTCCCTTCTGTGGGCACGTCCCCTCATTGAGGACCCCCGGCTGCACAAGCACCTGAAGAGCCACCCCTAGCTCCCCATCGCCCAAGGCTTCATGGGCTGCACAATGGACAGGTGCTTACAATTGCAGTGCAGACCCAGGGCCGTAGGCGCTTGGCCTAGAATGGGAGTTGCTAAAACCCTGGGTGCTCAGAGCAGAGAAATGCAGTTAGACTGCTGGTCTCTGAGGGCTGACATCTAATAGAAAGTGAAATGTTCTACACCTACCATGATTCTGAGCTTTCTTCCGAGTGGACACCCAGTGATTCAAAGCTCAGCACTGCAGGGACAGACCTCAGTGGGGACAAAGCCATGAGGCAGAATGCACTCACCACAAGTAAGTCCCACCCAGTGTCTGGACTAGGAGCTCTGACCCATGCCTTTGCCCCCATTTCAAAGATGCCCCCCCAGAGTTGGACAAGGGCCAAGCACCATGTGCTGGCTGAACAACCTTAAAAAGGGCCATCCTGACTGCTGTCTTTGACCAGTGCCAGGCAGAGTGTCATTTGAGGGGTAGCATTCTTGGCTCTCAATGGCATTCCCATGGCAGATGGCCTGGTACTCCCACAACATCTGTGGGGCAAACTGTAACCCTTGTCCATCCACATTCCCCCAGGCCCTCCTCTCCCCGGACACAGGCCTGGTCTGCTAAGCTGCAACACCCCTCACTTCAAAGCACAGGGACACTCAGATGCACATAGTGACCAGCAGCTCAGAAGCAGAATTGGGGCAGACACTCCAAGGGCAGAACCCTAAATGGACATGGGCCGGGCCAGGCCAGGTACTGAGGTTTCCCAAAGGCTCTGTGACTTGAGCACAGCAGGGCCAGGCTGCAAGCATAGCCACACTAAGAACACGATCCAAGCAAGGCCAAGGGAACAGTCTAACTGCTTCTGGACAGGCCACCCAGTGGACAGTGCCCTCCCCAAGCAGGTACTTAGGAAGATCCCATGGCACCTTCCCCAAAGTCAGTTAAGCATCTACTGGAAAAGCCTAAGCTGTGTGCTGCCTGCTCCCAACAGCATGTAGGGGGAACCTTTGCTTTTTAATCAATAGCTAAGCATCATTAACCTCTGGACTCCTCTAACTTATGGCAGTTTACTCTAGAGCTGAAATGGTGGTCAGTGGTGCTCAGAACCCAACTGTGCTGCCCTCCTGGTGAGCTGGGACACAGGTACCAAGCTGTGCTGGCAGAGGGCCTTAGCCCTGTACACTAGAGCCTCAAGGGTTCATCCCATGTAGGTCTGATTCTGGAAGCAGAGGTCCCCTGGGACTGGCCAGAGGGGCAACTCCAAGGACAGTCCAGGGCAGAGCTGCTGCAGCTACAAGCAGACAAAACCAGGTGGGTTATGGGAAGCCAGACATTTTCTACAATGGTTACAAATGCTTCAGATGAAAGTCTCCCTCCTCCCGCCACTGAACAAACAGGTTTTATCTGTAGGAAGATCAGGACAGGCTGCATGTGAAGACAAGACTCCACCTGGAAAAACTGAAACCTGGCCCAACAGCGTGGTCCACTGACCAAACCACCTGCAGTGGACTCCCCAGCACCCAGTCCCTGCCAGCACACAGAACCCCGTCAGCCCAGGTCTTCCTGGAGGCCACGTTCCTGGGACACACACAAAGACATGGTCCTCACCTGAGGGAAGGGCCACCATGGCCCTCCTTCCTGTGCAACAGCAGCAGCCAGCTCTGCCCTTTCTATAGCTTAAATGTCCAAGCACTGACAACAGCACATAAAGGGGATCCAGCACCTGTTTTCCTTTATCTCAAAAAATGCTATGGGCCCTGGCTGGCCTGTGAACCGAAAGATCTCTGGTTTGATTCCCAGTCAGGGCACATGCCTGGGTGGTGGAGCCAAGTCCCCAGTTGGGGGCGTGCGAGAGGCAAGTGATGGATGCATCTCTCGCACAGATGTTTCTTTCCCCTCTAAAAGTAAATTAAAACAAACAAAAAACAAACAAAAAAACAAAAAACAAAACAAACCCTGAAATGCCATCAAAAGTAGCTCCTCTCTACCCTGCTATACCACCAGCCACCCTATAAACTCCTTAGGGTACAATCAGGTTTTGACCTTTTCTATATTGAACCAAGGACACTTAGAACACTCTGGGTGGATACCCTCTCAGCCACAACCACACATCCCAGGACTCTTGCCAGGGCAGAGAGGAGGGACCCCAAATTAAGACCAAAGGTGCATTTACCACTGAGGGACCACTCAACCCACACTACTTGAAATAGCCTGAAATGGACTGGATGCAGACAGGGCAAAGGAAAGATGTCTTTAGAATTTCTGGCCTGCAAACCCTCCACCCCACACGAACTACAGACCACAGGAGAGTTGCTGTCAGAAGGAAGTCCCAGAGCTCAGCAGCAGGAGGGAAGGGGCCCACATGGGCAGCACCAGATTAGAGGCCGCGCCAGCTAACAGGGTAGCAGAGTCAGCAATGCCTACCTTTGTACCAACTGCTATGTCTGGGACAATGCTGTAGAGAGAAAGAGAGAAAAGAACATTAGCAGGTGTACCACATCAGCTGCTGCCAGGGCTCCGGGGACAGGCTGGCCAGCATGGGCCTTCTTGGGCTGCACAAGCCCCCCCCCCACCCCCCATTTAAGTCCTCAGATAACTAGTAAGCTTAGGGCAGGGAAGTGAGCTGTCTTCCATTTAATCTCAACTTGAAAAGGAGCCATCATTGTCCTCCAGCTCCCCTCCCTCCCAGCAGGACCCTAGACAAAGACACCCCCCTCCAAAGCCCCAGGAGGGACACTTGATGCTTGTTGTTAAAGGATAAAATGCGTTGTTTGCTTTCTAAAACTTGGAAATGCTTGGAGAACATTTTCAAGCATGGAAGGAAGACCAGTGAGAAGACAACTCACAAGACCCTGAGGTCAGAGCTCCAGGGGGTTGAGAGGGGAACTCAACAAGGGGACTCTGTTCAAAGAAAGGCAGGCTCCCTCAGAGAAAAGAGACAGCAGAGATAAAACAATCCGATTAAATTAACACAAGTTACTCATCAACCTGGCTCCCTGTGATTGGACTTTCTCCCTGCCAGAGGCCCAGCTCAGGTGGATACAGACGTTCCTACAGGCCTCAACTGAAGACTAGCTCTCAGCACAAACATAAAACCCTCTGAAGGCTTCTACATGGCAAATGTAAGCTGACAAGGTCCTCAATGACTCATGGAGAGGAACTTAGTCACCAACGTCCCCTACCAGGTCACCTGGATTAGTGGTCTGTGACCAGAGCCTACCATGAATGTCATACAAAGATGGCCCCCTCACCCAGCCATGGAAAGGCTGGTTCCAGAATGGGCATAAGGCCCTGGGGCAGCTACCTGCACTATAACCCCTTTGTTCCTGCCCTCAGAGAGGCAAGTTCAAGGCACCAACCCACTCCCCACCCCCAGAAACAGCCTGACCCCAAGTGCTGAGCCCTAGTCCTGCCACCTGCACTCCTCGCCAGCTCATTTTAACCCACTACCTCTATTGTAGGGCCTTCACTATAAAAAAACATTATGGACTAGTGTTAACAGAAATTTTAAAACTTTCTGAAGTCAAACAAAAACTTCCCAGAAAAACTGAAAGAATGAAAAACTTGCAGCTTCCTATCCGCCAACCCAGGGCAACTCACTATTTCCTACTCCCTGGGAGGGCCCCTCTGGCACAGAAAAGTTTTACATAAAATGGCCCTTCTTAAAAAGGTTCCCAAACCTTCCAATAAAAGGCTTGGCGGGGCTGCCTAGGTAACACCACACTATCCACAAAAGGTTGCAAATGGGACTGGACTCCCAAGCCACACACGGGGAATGAAACACTCCAACAGTCCTTGAGTGAAGCAAAACCAGATGACTGGACCAGATAGTTAAGAAAATGCTTTCCCCCACTTTGCATCAAAATTTCCCCACAGGGGGCCTAAGTACCCACTTGTTTGCACCCACAGCCCAGGTCTACTGGTTTGGAAAGGGATTCTCTGGGTGGTCTACCTGAACCTGAGATCATAAGGACCCACGATCACATTCTTCATACCCAGTTTTTCTAAAAAAGCTAAATTAAATTCATTCAGCCTGAAACCTATCATTTCAAACCCAAAGCAGAGGAGGTGACCCTCCGGGAAGACTGAGGGAAGGAGGGCTTTCAAAATCAAAACAATCAGAACTGCCTTCAGAATCTTCTGGATTAATTTTTTGTAATCGAATTTATTGGGGTAATGCTGGTTAATAAACAGTAAGTTTCAGACATGCAATTCTGCAATTCATCGTCTGTACATTGTATTGTTTATCACCCCAAATCAAGTCTCCTTCCATCACCATTTACTCCCCCCCATATAATATTACCTTCTACCTCTCCCCAACCCACTTCAGGCTTACTTTGTAAAAACAGAACCTACCCATGTCAATGGGAAACGAAAATAATTAGGCTAACTCGCAAAACGGAAAGGCACTATTTAGTTTCATTTTTAACAGGTTCTGTCATTTCCCCCCATATCAGAAACATCTAAAAAGGGCTCTAACAAAATAGTTTTATACCTTGACCTTAAATGTCAGTGTTAAAGTTAAAAAATCTTTGGAACTTCAGATCTGTTCAAGGCTAGAGAATAACTCACAATACACTAAGATTACTTCACCGTTGCCCCTCCCATTTCTCTGGTCCTGAGCACACGCACAAGCCCAGGAACTGATTACATGTGCACCCAGGGCCCCTTCCCTCTTCTAATGTGACCAGTCAGCCTTCTAAACTGCTCGAAGGCTCAGGGTCCGATGTTCAGGCCCACGTGGGTGGCTCCGCAGGATCTAGAGCCTGGAGCTCCACGGTTTGGGTGGAGCAACTTGTGCTTAAAGAATTCCCAAACAAGGAGCCCCGGGCTGGCGAGAACAAAGGGGGCGCGCGGGCCCCTCCCCGACACCCCCGACGGTCCTTTGTGGGAAGCCCAGGGAGGAGCCGGGCGGGGGAGGAGAGGGCCCGCGCCCTTCCGGGCAGGAGGGCGGCGTCTCCCGGCCGCACCCGGGACCGCCGCGGGCGGGGGAGGCCGAACGCACAGTCCGCGCGGCGGGAAAGGCCGCGCACGCGCACCACAGCCTGAGGCGAATGCGAGAAACTACGCACGCGTGCGTGGGGGCCGGACGGGGAGCGGGAAGGGCCACACAGAGCGTGCTAAGAGAGTACGGGTAACCGGAAAAGCCACATGGGGCGCGCAAAAGGTGGCGCGGGTGGGGATCCACGGGAAGGGACGTTCAGCCACCGCGTGCTTTCGGGAAGAGCCCCGAGAAAACCGGAAACAAGGACAGGGGCGGGGAGGGTTGGGCCTGGCTGACCCTGGCTGGGAGATGTGGACCACCTCGCACCCCTGGCAGTCTCTTCCCGCGCCTGGGAGGAAGGGAGGAACCCCAAAGAAGCCTGTGGGCCCGGGGCGGAGCAACAGGCGGGCCATCGCTCCGAGGAGGCGCCGGCGGGGGCAAGAGAAAGGTGAAACGTGAGGGGGGGAAGGCGCAGGAAGCGCGTACAAACACAACTCACCCGTCCATTGCACACAGAGGAGACCCGGAGGGGACGGAGTGGAGGCGCCGGAATAGCAGGAACCGACCCAACGGCTCCGAGTTATAGACTCACAAAATGGCGGAGACGCCTGAACACGTCCCTCGCGCGCTCTGCCCATTGGCTCCCGCTGCTCAGGGAGGGCGGGGAGAGCGCCGCGGGCCCCTGCCAGCGCCTCCCAATGGCTAGGAGGCCACTCGACGGGTGGAGCCAAGGGTAATGACAGACGACCATTGGAGAAGATGGCTGTCCGTGAGGGCTCAAGGCGGAAATGGCCCGTGGAATCGGGGGATGGGAGAAAAGCTGGGAGCACGTGTCGAAGCCTGAGCCAGTGAGCGAGCCGCTCTCCTGCGTGGAGCTTTGCGGGAGAAGCCATCTTGAGAGTGGGTACGTGGCGAGTCTGGCGGCGGGAAGTGTTCTTCCCCCGGGCTGCCGCCATCTTGCATACGGGCAGGGGTCGTTTCCTTAGCGCGTGAGAGCAGGGTGGAGTGTCGCCATCTTTGAGTCGGGCAGGACACCTCAGGTGCTCCATCTTGCTTGTGGGCGCGTGGTAGAAAAGTCTAATTAAAATTGAGGCCTTAGCAGGTGGGCGGGGGAGGGGGGGCGCAAAGGCCATTTACGCGTCCCAGAAGCCCCAGGTCTCACTTGCCACTGCTGGCTACCAACCTTGCAGGTTGGATGTGGTCAGGAATCGCGCCCGACCGTCCTTAGTCTCAGCGCAGTGAAGGCCAAGTGCAGTCTGCTCTCTGGCTGGAGGGATGGGGAAACTGAGGCCAGGGGTGCAGAGAGGATGCCGCCCACCCTGCACCTGAGGAAACTGAGGCCAGGAAGGAGGCCCGCACGGGACATAGCCCGCCCTGTACAAGGATAAACTGAGTCCAGGGCGCAGAGAGCAGAATCCTGCCATTATGGGACATTCGGAACGGGGTGGCTCTCCATCCCAGCAGCAGGAAAAACGCCCTGCAAGTATTCCCAAGAGTGCTGATTCCAATAGTTGAACAGAGTTGTGGCTGACAGAGGTGCCCTTCAGAAAGCACCGGAAACTAGGGCCAGCTGGGTTGGGAAAAGGGATCCATATGAGGTCAGAGAGGCCAAAGCCAGGAAGGCTGCTCATCGGTTGTGTCCTCCAGCCCTATTAGAAGCACCAGGAGCTGATGGGCATCGCAGGCTTGACAAGGTTCCCGGTGTGGAGTTCAATAAACAGAGGAAGCTGTTATTATAGTTTGCTGTATGTCCATGCTGAAGAGGAGTTTTTATTGGGCAGCAGCCTAGACAGGGAGAAGCAATGACATTTCTCTTTTCTCTGCCTCAGGTTGGTTTCATTTCACCAGTGAGCTCTCGTGGGCTGGGCAATACCACTTTCAGGGCCTTGAGGTTCGGGATTCTGTCCAGGAGTCTTGGAGCCAGAGGGCTGCCTCAGATTAGGTGCACAGCTCCCTCCTTTATCCTCTCATTCTGAAGGCCAGAACTCTGAAATCAAGGTGTCAGCAGGGCCATTCTTCCTCGAGAGGCCCCAAGCTCCTGGGTTGTAGGCACATCACTCTGGTTAGTCTCTGACTCGGCGATCACTTGGCCGTTTTCTGTTTTCTCCCTTATTCTCTCTGTTCCTTCTCCGTGAGTCACTAAAAAGGACACTTCTCATTGGAGTTAGGCCCTACCAGGATAACTGAGGAAGATATCAGGGTCACCTAAGACCCTGAATCACGACTACAAAGGCCCCTTTCCCGAGTAAAGTCATACTCACAGGGTCAGGGATTAGAATGAGAACACACCGTTTTTTGAGGATTCCAGTCAACCCACCACACCATCTGAAACTTGGACCAGCAACAAAAGGTTGCTGGCGGGGTCCTCATGATTGTAGCTAGGTTCCAGGGGCGGGGGGGAGGCTCGTGGTTACCAATGCTTAGGGCCCGCCATGGAGAATTAGATCCGTCCCTCTGATTTATTTAGGGGCAGGCCAGCCTTCTCTCTTTGTCTTCCTTTTCCCTTCTCGGTGCTTTCTTTCATCCTAGCCTTGCCAGCCAGCTGCCTCACTCATGAATGATTCAGGGTTAGGGACTGCATGCTCACCTTGCAATTGTTTGATAATTTTGAAAATGATACTCTCCGTGGCAGGAGCAAGGGGGGTGGATGGGTGCCACATGGGGGTAGAGGGCTGGTATCCCAAGCTCTGGTGAGAGGGACTTGCAGGGCCTCCATGCCCTGCTCAGATCTGATGGGGGTAGGGGTGATGGTGCCTCAGTTAACCCTTCATCAAAACACAGGGGCAAGGCCAGGTCAGTCCCTCTTCACCTCCTGTATGCTTACCTTCCTGTTTCAAATGGAAATAACTTAATAGTTTTGTATTTAGTCACATGTTTGTTTATCCAGTGCCTTGATTACAAAAGCCTTGGGGGGGTGGTGAGGTATCCGAGGCTTGGGCTTGTACTAGTCACTCCACATCTCCCCTCCCCTTGAAGCCCTCCCAGATTCTCAGACCCTTTTTCCACATTTCTGTTGGATTGAGCTGGGGAGGTCGGGGCATCAAAGAGGTTACTCCCAACCCCTCCAAGCTAGAGCCCTTCCCCTGTTCCAGCTGGGTGACCTGGAACCACTCCTGGACCTCCTGGGACTCCCTGTGGCCTAAGAAGATTCAGAATCTGCCTCCAGCCTGGGTCTATCAGGGAACAGCCAACTCCCCAGATCCAAGACTTGGGGCCAGTCTCCCTTCTCCAGTTAGGCCTCCTACCTCTTCCTCCTGCCCAGTCCCCTGTGTCTGCAAGGTGGGAAGGGGGGCCCCCAAGGCGCTTCCCCTGAATTGTCATTGTAACTTCCCAAGGGTCTCATCCTCGACCCCACACATCCAGAGCTCAGCCCTCCCCCTCCCCCAGCCCTGGGCACTCAGGCCATCTGCAAACTCCCCAGCCCTTATCCGCCCAAAGCAGCCTGGTTTACCCCTCCCTCTCAGGAACCCACCCTCTCCCCAGGCCCTGCCACCACCACCACCCTCCCCCTCAGCTAGAGCTAGGTTTCTGCCTCTAGCCCCACTCCACCCCAGCCTGATCCACACCTGCTGGGAGCTCAGCCAGTGCTGGGCGCCTTCCAGTTTTAACTCTTTAATCTTCTGAGTGTGAAATACTATCACTTCCTTTCCCTAGCCCAGAGAGGTCGAGTCAGCTGCCTGAGCCTCTCAGCCTGTAAGACAACCCCCTGGGTTTACCCAGACTTCTCTGCCTTCCCCCTCCCCCCGGGCAAATGGTCTGGCCTGTCCACCAAAGAGTCTACATAGAGTGACCACCTGACCCGGCAACACTTCTCCTAGGTGTGTGCTCAAGAGAAATGAAACATGCACACGAACACTTGTACAGGTGTGTTCACAGCAGCCAAAAAGTGGAAACAACAGACAAATGGACAAATATAAGTGGTCCACCCACACAGCAAAGTATTACTCGGCCAGGAAAAGAAACGAAGCACTGACACATGCCATAAAGTCAACAGGGCCCCTGCTGTCCCCACGGCTCCACAGGGCTGGCGCTGACCCTGGCCTCCTAGCCACTGTGTCTGTTAGACAGTCACTGGCAAGTCCCTCCCCTAACTGTCCTCTCAGGAGGGGTCACCAGCTGCAGCCCATAAAGAGGTATGCACCAGGGGTCTTTCTGTCAAATGGAGACTTGGGCCCAGGGCCCAGATGGCCCAAAGCCACGTCGGGGCTCCTGCTGGGCACTGGGCCTTGCAGGAAGCCTAGTCCTCAGGGAAGATGGATGATAAACCTGAAACTGAGGGTGGCAACGTCAGGAGGCTACAAGGAGCCCTGCAGGAAATGGCCGGAGAGAAAGGCAGGAAGGGGCAGGGAGGGGCAGGGCAGCCCCACAGAGCAACTACATTTAATCTGAGGGGGGTGGGCTGGCCACTGGAGGGCCTGAGAGTGTGGAGCAGGGAGCTGCAAGGGTCCTGCCATGGGCTGGATCATGACCCCCAAGGATATCTCCATGCCCTGACTGCCAACCCCTGCACCCATGAGTGCGACCTTGCTTAGAAACAGAGTCTGTGCAGGTGTAATTGGGTAAGATGAGGTGACACTGGAGTGGGGTGGCCCTAATGCAAGGACTGGTGCCCTTATAAAAAGGGAGATTTGCATGCAGACAAACAAGGGAGAGGCCACATGACAACAGGAGGCAGACCAGGGTGATGAGGTCACCAGCGTGGGACTCAAAGGTTGCTGGCACACCAGCAAGACACCCCCCCCCCCAACCTCCACAAAGGACCAGCCGACTAGCACCTGGGTCATGGACTTCTGGCCTACTGAACAGGAAGAGAGTAAATGTGTTGTTTTACATCACCCAGTTCATGGCTTTTGCTCACGGCAGCCACAGAAAACTCCTTCTGCCTTCGAGAAGTGTGGTCAGGCAGGTGGACAGACAGGGACTGTACTGCCTGGGCTGGCAGCTTCACCTGGTGACAGGAAAGTTGGCCTGCTTCAGCGGCCCTTGCAAAATTTATGAAAAGGAAGATGTCTTGATAGGAGAGGGAATGTGAGCTGGGCTGTAAGCAATCCCGTGGCCATCTGTTCACTTGGCTGCTCGCCTGTCCATGGGGTCGTGGGGCCACGGGCACCCACTGGGACGGGGCCAGGCAGGGGCTCTGGGCTGCCCAGTGTGTCCGCACCTGGGCAGGAGCAGAGACCCAAGTCCTCACTCACCGAGGAGTGGGAACCGCAGCCCCATCCCGGTCACTGCAGTGGAGCCTTTACTCCACTTAGTAAAGTAGCTGCTCTCACCCAGAGATTCTTTTTGTCCCCCTGCTTGGACACTGGGTGACATCTGAGGACGTCTGTGGTTGTCACACTGGGGGTGCTCCCAGCATCAAGTGGTTGGTGGCCAGGGATGCTGCTCTACACGCCATGGTGCCCAGCATGGCCACCCACAGAGAGTTACTTGTCCAATGTCGGCCGAGTTTAAATAAAGCCCCTGAGTCCTCTGCAGGTGACCCCCTGGAGGCCAGGCTGCACTGTGCGGTGCTCTGGAGTCCTGGTAAGAAGGTGATTCTGGAAGGATCCAGGCACAGAGGGAGAAATGTGCCCCTAGCAGGCAGGCGGAGAGGACTCCAGGACAGGAGGGAGAGTGGCCCTTGTG